AGATGACATTTTAAAACTTTTGTTTCACTCTAGATTGCTCGAGATCCTAACTATTTGTAGGTGTTTGACACCACTCAACCACATCTGTAATTGGCATAGCAACCAGCAGACAGGCTCTGTACATCTTTACACAGCAACCTACCAAGTTAAGAAATGTATTGGTTCAATATAAAACAGCAGGCTGTTTTTAGACATAGTTACTAGTGCACAAGCTTTAATATGGCTTTGCTTCACCCTATAATGAGATCTTTTGGTTCTCTGCTCAACAGGCTTTTATTCCTTTGGAAAAAGCTACAAACTATGTCAAGTGAATCAACTGCTTTTGTACACTCTTTCCTGGCTTTGGAACATAAGTCCTTTGTTTCCTATCCCTTTATGCATCAGACAGAACTTAAGAACCTTTTCAATTTTTAAGCTAAACTTAGAATTTGTTTGAATTTGCTTTTTACAATTTTCTTAAAAATTACATTCTGAACTAAAACAAAGATCTTCCTGGAAGTGAACACTTAATTGCAGAGCAATACTTTGTCTTTAACACATAGATCTATACCCCACATTAGTAATGTGCCAAAGGGCAGTTATCTCAAATTATTTCTTCATGGTCACCTCACAACTAAATTCAGGAATCCTTTAGCGAGCACTAACATAAGGCATAGATGGCATAAATAATGGTCAAACAAACAACAGAACTAGAACTAGTAACCAAAGTCCATTGGAAGGCAGGAACCTACTCATGCTGACATCAAGCAGCTTGAGGGGAATAGTTGTAGCCCCAGTGGAAAATGTCATACTATTGTCCCAGTTCAATAAAGAATGGGGTGGTACAGATTTCTGCTTGCATAGAGATCCTGCTTTCTAGGTTTGGCTGTAGCTTTTCTTATAATCTTTTCACCTCCAGATTGACAACTGACTTCATTAAAATTTGATCACTGATACAATATTTTAATTCCAAATTGTTTAAAGTAGAGAGAACAGCCACTGTTCATTTGGGGATTTTGTGATGTGAAGATACATGGTGGATTTAGTCATTAGTGATAGTTTTTGCACAACTTCCTTCCATTTTAACCAAAATCTCTACAAGTAATCTTAAATAAGCAAGTAAATATTAGTAACATCACTGATGTAACTAAGATTTTTCTCATAGGAAGTGTCAAACTTCTTTTGCAGTTTGAAACTTCCTGAGAGTTATATGACTCTACTGAGGTGCACAGAGAAAAATCACTAAAAAGTTACTGGTTATAGTGGGCCATAGAAATGGTTAAAATAATGTTCCTTGTAGTAAATAATCTTTGATTTAAAAATATAAATACAGTGTGGAATAAGCCTATCAATAATATTAACTATCTTTAAAAACAAAAGTGGTATGCTTAATTACATCAGTGTAAAAGAGAAAAATTGCTATTTTAGTATTTGATTAAATTTTCTCATCTGTCCAATTAGATGTAACAAATCTATAGGCCTACAAATCACAAGTAATTGGAAAGGGCATAAAGGTCTTGAATAATTTGAAAAAAAATTATTAATAAATAAATGTATTCATCAGGCAGTTGGGTAAATCTAAGCATTTAAACTGGAATTCAAGAGGGTAAGCCACAAAGTTATGTTAGGCAGTGACTCTGACATAGCTTTAGAATCTAGGGCACTGATAGGGTGTGTATGGATAAAAAATGAAATGCTATTTCATAAGGTTTCCTTGGTTACTCCTTGAACTGTTCAGAAAAACAATGACTACTTCAGGTGAGGAAAATGGATATAGTTGATATGCAAAATGGTTAAAGTTGATATATAGAACACAAAAATAAAATTATTATATCTCCAAATAAAAAGCCTTCTCCTAAGTGATTTTGGAGTTAAATACTAACTGTAAAAAATTTCCTACTATTTAAAAATTGTGACTACTAAAATACCTAGATGAAAATATTTCTGATGATTTACTTTGGGGTAAAATTCATTAAATCTAATACCTAATTTAATACAACTTTCAAGTTTAATCTAACCACATATTAAAAGTTACCTTAATTCTTATAAGTTGGGAGATAATTCCAAAGCAAATAAATGTTATTTAAAAAAGGTATAAAACTTGCATTTTGACCTATTATGAATCTTTTAAAGAACACTATGTTTTGAAATCATATGTCAACTGTAATTTGCAGTATAAACTGATGTGAACTTTTCATAGTTCATTATGGCTGTTGAGTCGTGATTTACATAAGGAGACCAGAAAAATCTCCAAAAAGGGAATGAACATGATAAAAGCCTCAGGTTTTAAAATTATAGTTGAATTTGTTCAAATATCAATTAATATATCAATTACATTGAACATATCTACAAAATATTCTAAAGCACGAGAGGTCATTTTTTTATTTCAAAATAATATATTCAGGATAATACACGTTGAGTTTTAAAATAAGATTGTTTCCACGTTTAAAAGAAGGCAATGCATAACTGTAAACTATATTACTTAGTCATGATGGCTATATAACTCAACAAAATATTTTACATACAGAAATTCTAAACTATATTGAAACTATTTTCACAATTGCCTTTTTTTCCATTTATTTTTTAAAAAGTAATACAAGTGATATCATTGTAATAATCTGGTTATTATTTAATAGGAAAGGAGTTAAGGGAATATTAGTTAATATAAGCATGCTATTTATACAGCTTTGCTAGAAAGCTGTAATTTAACACTCTCCAAGTCTGTTCCCTGCTGATAGATGGGGGAAGGGACTGGACAAAGGTAGTATGGACTCATGCCCAACGAGGTCTGGGTGACATGGGAATGTGCTTAGCTGTCAGTCACACCTGGAAGCAAATTAGTGGCCAAAATAGGTGTGGCCACTGCAAAGGCAGAAGCCTGAATAGTTAAACCCCTGGACAAAGGGAGTTCCTGTTCTTGGTTCCCTTGCTTGCTGTTTGCACCTGACTCCTGTTTCAGGGGGCGCATTCCCCTGCATTCACCCGCATGGCCCATGCCTACGTGGGCTCCACAATGGACTAATGGACTTTAACTAGCCTGATGTTTTGCTAGACCCAGCTGCAACATGGAACAGAAGCTCTGGACATTGGCTTTGCTTTTGGTTCTATTGGAACTGCAGCTGCACCTTTTTCAGGACTGGTTTAAGAAACATGGGACTTTGGAGCCCAAGACATGTAATTCCATGCAAATAAAGTCTTTTTCTACATATCATTCTCCTGGGGGGGTTTCTGAAATGCTATTTCAGTGGTATCCCAAGAACCCCACTCCCACGAGTGGCGGGGAAGTCTGGCCCACTAATATCTCCTGTAACACAAGGTACTTTATGGAATGACTGCAAAGTAGACAACAGAGGAAAAGTACTATGGGTACAAATATGAAAATAAAAATTCTATTAGTGTTCTTTGTTACAGAGGAACATTCTTTTAAAAGTGCTAATATTTTTATCGCAAATAGTAGCAGAATATATTTAAGCATTAGACCATTTAGTTGAAAAATTTTGCAGGATAAAAAGTGAAATACTTTAACAATTTCAAGTCATTAGAAGGCATTATAGCTCAATACACGATGACACTTACATCCTAATATATATCCCTAATGTAACTTTGGGTATCTGTAAATATTCAGATTCTGGTTACTAAGAATTAGTACAAGATGTTCTTATATTTGATGTAACAAATAAAATATGTTCTTTAGACGAGAAGAAAGACAGATGTTTACTAGAATTCTATTTAAACCAGAAAATTTAAAGTTGTGAGTTTGTGTATGTATGTAAATGGGGTAGTCAACTTTTTTTTAAGCCCTCTGAGATATAAGTAGAAACTAGGTTTCATTTAAAAGGAAAAACCATAGGTGGCATTGCCATGATTTAGATTTAAAGCCTTTCTTACAAGGCTAGGTTTGCTGAAAAGCTTCCTAAAAATATGCACTTGTTTTTACTCTTAATTTTGTATTCAACCAGAAAAATTGAAAATAACTATTAATCCAAAGTATATTTTCAAAATTTCTCCAAAAAATTGAATTAAATCAAACCAAGCTACAACTTCTGAAAGATCAAACTTAGGAGACTGCATAGTGTGAAATTTCCTCTTCCTTTTATCTGAGCAACACAAAGTCTCTATCTCAATAGCAATATACTCAGTCTTATAATCGACTTATCTCTGTACACTTAAGGTTTTATAACTTGCCATATTAGTTTAACATAAAATTGCAATACTGAAATTGGTCACAGTAGTGTATGGAGAGACTCCCACTACATTGGAAGAATGGTTTGCTGTTTATAAAATATAACATTGTTTAAGAAACAAACCAAAACAACACAACTCTTTGAAAAAAACACAGCTCTCAAATAAAATTAAAAAAAGCTTTTGAATAAATCAAAATCAAAATATTGGGATTTTAATATTAAAAATCTCCTAATTTAAATGCAGTTTGTCAAAAATCTTTCACATTCTTCATAAATTATAATATGGCTTTTAAATATGGCTTTATGTTTTTATCCAAAATTTTATCATAACTTTTAAATTATGTATAAAAAATGTATATTTTTAGTTAAATTTTATAGTTTTTTAAAAGCTGTAGTCTTACAACTAAAGAAAATACATACTTAAGGCATTTTTTCTTTAACTGCTTAAGGAAACAGCTCAGGCTATTTACCTAAAACTGTCCTAAATCTAAATAATTCATTCAAGCAACAGATGAATCACTCATTCTAAGAGGCTTCCTCAAATGTCACATTCTCCTTGAAGCTTTCTGAATATTCCAGCAGATAGTAGCTGTTCTTTTCTGTGTACTACATTCTTATAGCCTTCTGAGTTTCTCTCTCTCATAATCCTCACTTCAATATGCCTTGTGGTTCATTTTTTACAGGTCTCTTTCCTCTGCTAAACTGTATTCTCTTGTGGGTGGAAACTGAACGACATCCATCTCTGCACCTCAGCAAATGACATACAGTAGGTACTCAATGTCTGTTGAACAAATGGAGAACAGAGCATGAAGATAAACACTGCATTCTCAACTACTATTTGGATTTTTTCCCCAAAGTTTATTTTAAAGTAAAAGTGTTTACTGTTAACCGTTAATAGATACACATCAGAAATAGTCTGCTTTTAATATCCATTGAAAAATAATACATTTGGAGCAAAAACTTTCTGAGAATAATAAAAAGAAATAGAAATATGTATGAAAAGGAGACATTTAGCTTTTTTTCTTTTGGATTAAAATGTTCCTTAGTCATTGAATCCTATTAAAGAGCTTAAAAGCAGTTAAAATTTCACATATTAAACCATGTAGATTTGGTTAGAGGGAAAAAAGGCTTTCAGAGATTACTTAAAATGAGTTAACAGTGCAAATACTAGGCTGTTTGTTTCATGAGAATTTTACCATGTGCTTTGCTTCTTCCTTAAAAAAAATTTAAAATACTCTCCAGTTTTAACACAAACAAAATATAAATATTTATGAAGGAAAACAAATTCCACAGCATTCCATACAGATTTCTAAACAGTCTGATGATTCACAACATGCATCCATGATGCCACAATCCATGTCACAAGGGCAGTTACAGTCATCCCCCATTTCATCTCCACAGCAACAGCAGCAAGCTTCTGAGGTGCAGAGGCCACATGAAGCTTGTCCCAGGACAATATTGCAGAGGGTCAGGAATTCACAGAACAAGCAGGCCAGGATACAGTGGACACAGCAATCTTCATTTTCAATTGGGAAGAGACCGCATAGTGAAAAAAAGGAGGAACAGAAAGTATATAAATCGTCAATAGACTGAATAATGAGTTGATCAAAATAAGTAATCCAGAACCCAATGACATGCCTTCCTAGAAATCTTTTGTGGGCTGAAAGCTCAAAAATAAACTTGTTAAATTCTAGATAAACGATCTTTAGAAGTAGATACTCCATATCGGGGGGAAAAAAAAGTTGTAGTTGTGTATATGTGCACATGTGCATGTGGGTGAGATTATTACTCTGATACACTGCAACAATCTTTGGTCCTAGGTTCCACTTTATGCATATCCCATCTTCCCTATATCCTATTGTTCTTTATAACATAGGCTAAAATGATTCCATGACATTGAAGTCCTTCAGAAATAGAAATTTCCTTCAACTGCTCCATTGACCTGCTCCAAAATTGAGAAGAAGAAAAAAACATATTCAGTATATTATTGAATAATTGAATGAACAGTTAAATTGGAATGTATTAAATTGGGGTCAGCATACTTTATTTGCCAATAAAACTGACTCAGTTTCATGGTCTCAAATATTTTTGGTTTCACAAGAATTAAAGAAAAACTGCGACTCTCTGTTTGGGCCCAACCATTGTTCCTGGAAGCCAAGTTCTTCTGCCTGTTTCTAACAAAGGATTTGTGCCTTAACAAATGTGAATAATGACATACTAACATTGCTTTCCCACTTCCTGTATGGCAAAGTACTTTACATTTCTATTATTTCCTAAGACATCTCTAATAATCCCTCTTTAAAAAATGTTTACCAAACTTCATGAACTGATATAAAAAGATGAAAAATCAAACAGATCATAGTCTTAGTACCCTATACTCTAAACTTCTTTCCTTTAGAATAGTGATTTTTCAAGCTTTTTCATCTCATGGCCTACATAACTAATTACTAAAATTCTGTAACACATCAAAAAATAATGCTTTTGCTGATCAGACCAAAAAAATAGGTATAATTTGATTCATTCCACTGCACAGCTATTGTTGTCATCTTTTTATTTGACAATCTAAGGGAAAAAAGGTCCGTGCCTCGGACTAAATAGTCAGGTATTGCGTGTTTTAAAATTTTTTGCAACAACCTGGTTGAAAATCTCTGCTTCAGAATTTTGTGGCAAGCAAGAGGAGCAGTTGAAGAAAATTTCTATTTCTGGAGGACTTTAACACAGCTTATAAAATAATTTAAGACCAATGTTATAGGACCTTTGTCTAATTTCAGAAAGTTTGTGAATTTTTACCAGGATTATTTCTGGGTTTGTGCATTGTTGGTTGGCATTTTGTTTTGTTTTGCTTTTTCTGTATTTTATACAATGCAAACTTAATGAGAGGATTCTGCTTTCAACAACAGCATCGATGCAGAACAATCCCACCCCCATCCCACAGTCACATACCCTTTGTTTCAGTATTGGCTTTAAAACGGAGTTCCTCTGATAAGTTTCAGTAAACTGTGTGATCGTCCCAAAATAAGCTCCCCAACTCCTTGAATATGCCCGTTTCTCTACAGTCTCTAACTTCAGTGAGAGTCTTTAACTTTGTAAAAGTGGGAAATGTGGACAACACAAGGTCATTTACTACATGCCAGATGGCAAAAAGTAGGGAGGGTCAGAAAAGAACTCAAAAAGGAAACACCAGAGCTGTTTGTAGAAGTAAAGCCTTAAATAGAACACAACAATCTTTCCTCTCATTCTTGGGTCCACTCTCACATACGACGGTCTATAGAACAACTAGAAAAAAGATCATAGAGTTATAAGAGCCTGCAGGTTTCTCTCCATCTTCCCCAAATATTTTAGTAGTAGCCAATCAGATCAGGAGAACACTGAAGCAACCACATGAATCCATATTCATAACCTTGGGAAGTTCTGGGTTTCTAGAGCATGTCTGTGGTTTATCTCTTTCTACATTCTTTTTATAAAATTTACCCTAATGTCTGTCTTATATATGTCTCTGTACATTTGAGTTTTCACAGGAATTATATTATTATGATTTGTAAAATACTCAAAATGTTAAAAAGAGTTAGCTTTATTATCATTATTATTATTATCAAAATAGTGTTTAACTGGCAGCAAGCCAGTTCTAGTCAATGTACCTTCAATCAAATACTAACTAATATTAACTAATTTTAACAACAGTTTTGACCTTAACTTTTTCCCCTGCTGAATGCTGTATTTCAAGACTGAAAGAGGGAAGCTATAAAAACTTGACTCTGAAGAACCTTTGAGTAATTTTAAAATGATACCATAGAATTCCTACAAATAGCATTTTTGTTCAAATTTATGTGTTTCAGATTTACTTGTGTTGATTAATGTAGCTATAGTTCATCTATTTTCCAGGTACATAGTATTCCATTGATTTAATGTACCATAATTTATTTATCCATCATACTATTTATAAATATTTTGGTCATTTCCAGTGTTTATGGTATTCCAAACATGACTGTTTGAAACAGTTCTGTGCAAGTTTCTTAGAGCACAAATGCTAAATAATGAGCAGTATAATGGCTGGGTCACAGGATGTGCATATGTTTAATCTTATTAGGTAATTTCAAATGTTTCCAAACAACTGCTCCAAAATTTACTCCCACTAATCAAGTATGAAAATGCTCATCGTTCCATATCCTCACCAATCTTTGAAACTATCATAATTTAATGTATGCCAATTAATTGAGTATGAAAAGGCGTCTCATGGTGGCTTTATTTATTTACTACTATGTTTGGATGCCTTTTCATGTTTCCTTGACATTCATGTTTCCTCTTCTTTAAAATGCCTGTTCAGGGTGTTCATGTTTTCCACTCCACTCACTTTCCTATTAAGTTGCTTCCTTTTTTTCCTTATTGATTTGTAGAAGTTCTTAATATTCAAGATAGCAAGCCTTTGTCAAATACAGTTGTCCTTTCTCAGTATGTGGCTTTCTCAGTTAAAATGACAAGAGACAGATGAATTAATTTTTAGACGATGAGAGAATGAAGTTACCAAGTGAACTTCAAATCAAGTCTTGTAGTTAGCTGGAGATATGTGTTGCATGGCTGAAGAAATGAAGTGATAGATGGACAAGTCTGGCAAATTAGTGAAAAGAAGAGGAAGCATTAATAAGATTTGGTGGCATAATGAAATAAACAGATTTTGTGTCCAATTCAGAACAAAGGAATTCAGCCATGCTTAGATACAGAAAGGGAGAAGAAATCAGGAGGAACACATTGTATATTATTGGTGTGAAATCAATAGTCTCAGATGAAGAGGGGTGGAAATGGCATTTCAAACTGAACAACTCATTGCTACTCATAGCATATATTCATCTAAGAATTAAAATATCTTCCAGGTTGTGGGTAATAATGACAGTTGTCATATAAAAATCAGAAACCCTAAGCCAAGAGTAAAATATCTCCAAACTCCTACAATTAGCCAACAAGATCTATAAGTTAATTTAAGTCTGTTAAACTGTCTTTGTATTTTCAGTAAAGAAAAATTTTTAAAAGTTCTTAGCTCTAAATAGATCAAACACGTCTTTTCTAGCCTGTCTTCTATAACACATGATTTCTATAATGAATAGGTATGCATGGTGGTTTTACATAAATGGGAAGCCTAGTATTAATGAAGAAAAAATAGTTATTTGCTGTTGTCAGAATTAAAATAGGTATTAAGACAGCGATGTTTTCATCATTCTTTCATTTAAAAAAAACCTATTTATTTACAAAACTTACTTTATACTAAACTCTGTTTTAAGGTCTTTGTAAATATTAATTCATTCAATTCTGTATTGGTAAAATGGGGATAATACCAATACAGAAACAGATTTACAGAAAATTTAGGAAATTCACCCAAGTCACAGAGGAAGTAAGTAGCAGAGCCAGGGTCAGAGCTCACACACAGCTCATGCTCTGATATAGCATGTTACGTATGCTGCCACTCCTAGCACTTGCTTCATCTTCCTGGGGGAACATCAGTTATAATCCATAACATTTGCTGATTTGTTTTTGACCCTTTTCCTTTCTAAAGATGATTCTGAATTTCAGTTTTAATGAAGAGTTGATAGTAAATGTTAACAAGTAAGAGCAAAGTTGATGAATTGCTGCCAGTCACACTGTTGAAAAAGACATATGAAAGAGATGGTGTCTCAATCAAAAGAAAGAACTCTTTATATTTAAAATATAAAATTTAAGGTCTATAGTTATATGAACAAGAACGATGTTGAGATTACATAGGAACTCTAGTGGTAAAACTAGTGTGGTAAAATGACAGAGGTCTTAAAAGAATAAGCTTTTTATGTAAATATTAAAACTTACAAAAAATAAACATCTTCTCTAAACATAAGTACTATATAATTTACTAAAAAAGCACTTTGAGATACTCTGAAAAACCAAATCTATTAACAGGCCCCTAAAAAAACCACAAACCAAAACACATTTTAGAGATTAGAGAGATATGAAACAAGGTGAATTTACAGAGACATCTACTAGAAACTTTTATTTCCTGTACTTTGTAAGTAGAAAAATACCTAAATATAACAATCAAAAAAAAAAAAAAAAAAAAAAAGAATCCCTAAACTATTAAATCAATTTAATAATCTGATTTTTATTCCTTGTCAGAAACATCTTTCTTTTCAGTTGTGTTCCAGAAAGTAGTTTATTTGTGACTTGGGTTAAAATAAAATAAGAAAAAATAGTTGTTACAGTTTCTACCACTACCACCCCCATTACCCCCAACAAAATCAAGAATCATAAAAGGCATTAAGATGTTGGTTTTATTTGAAGCAAAGAGAGGATTATAAGAATTATCAAACTAAGACTTAAATAAAAAAACTGTAAAAAAAATGATTCCTCCGCATCTATGTAGTTCACTGCCTGACGTAATTCTTTTCCCTGTTACTGAGGTTTTTAGTTTCTATGGTTTTATTCAGTCACATTTACAGTTTTTGCCAAAAGTGTTTAAACTTTGAGAAGCCAACTAGGTTTTAGGAAAGGTTCCTG